ACAACGCACGGCCCAGTAAGAAACACGGGGGCCTTTCCCCACGACGCGCAACGCGGCCCGCAGGGAGAGAGCGGGCGGGAGCGGCGCGCTGTGTCGCCGCCGGCGGGGAAGGGAGACGGGCGCGGGCAGCAAAGGTCGGGGAGGGAAAACGAGGAAGCTAGCCACAGGTGCGGCGGGGGGCTTGGGAAGCGGCCTCCGGGTGCGCGCTGGGCGGCGATGCCATGGGCGCGCGGGATCCTTTTGCGGGGGTCACTGTGTTCCGCGGCGAACTCGCGTTGCTGCGTGTGTGGGGAGGGGGGGGGGGGCGTTTGCTCCGGCAACAAGTTGGCACGGGCAGCTCACCCCTCGCGCGGACCTGGCGGCGGGTGGCGCCAACGTGGCGCGACGGTTTCGACGAGGCGTGGGGCGTACCGCAGCAACCGGCCGCCGCCGAGAAGCAAGAACGGTGACCAAGCGCGTTTTGTTACCCGCCCCTTCTTCTCTGAAGTCGTCGTTTACTTTGGAAGCCACCGCCGGCGTTCGTCACCGTTTCGGTTTTTTCCTCTCCTCTGCATTCATGGATTCTTCGGCCGCCCTTGTTTTTTGCCCCGGGACGCAAGCGAGCATGGCGCAGTCGGCAGCGCGTGGGTTTCATAATCCCAAGGTCGTGAGTTCGAGCCTCACTGATCGCACTTTTCCTCCTTCCTTGTGTGTGAAGGAAAAGGAACAGTGGAAAACGCCGACAGCAGGGTTCGAACCTGCGCGCGAGATCGCATTTGATTTCAAGTCAAACCCCGTAACCACTTGGGTATGTCGGCCGACGTTCTCGCTTGTTTATTGCGCAGGGCTAACTCTCCAGTTTTTCATTTCGCCTTCCCCAGACGCGAAACAGTTCTCTTCAGCTCCACGCGCGGCGTTGCCACCGCCACCACGGGAGGAAGCGGGTGCTGAATCCGAGCCCTCTTGTCAAGTCCGTTTCCCCCTGCGCCGCCCTTCGCGGTCGTCGCATGGTCGTTTTTTGTGGGGGCGCTGCGGTTGGACGCGGCCAAACGGCCCCTGGGCGTGACGTGCTCCGCGCGCCGTGGACAGATGCTTCCGGAGGGCGGCGCGGGAATCGCAAGACTTCTCGCCAGCGCGTGCGGGGGGAGGTGTTCGTCCGCAACTTCTTCCATCTTCCCTCGCCTGCGAGGGGCGCATTTCTTTCTTTCCCAGCAGGGCCAGCGAGGCCGCTGGGCGAACGCCCCGCATATGCCGGGGGACCCGCCACGGCGCACGCCGCCTCCCCCCGCGCTCTCAGGGCTACTCCGCCCTCCCTCCACCGGGCCCCGTCCTTTTCGCCGGGGCCGGGTTCCGGTTGAGCGCCCGGCTCTCGCAAGCGGCGACTGCTGACCGCGCGCCGCCCAAGGAGCCGAGGGGCCGCTTCCGTACGGTGCGCCGCCCTCACGCGACGAACGGCCCGCCCGATGTGTTTGACCTGCGAGCAGTATATGCATTGGAGGCGTCCCGGGCCCTCCGTCACACCGAAAGTGGGGAACACTTCATTAGTTTACCGAAGCCTCCCCAGCGCGAGAGGTGCCGCCGCACTTCGGCGCGCGCAGCTGTTGGGCGGGAAGCCCACTGCACTTGCCCCGGGCCCCCTGCGCACGGCGGCGCCCAAAAAAGCCCAACTGCCGCCACCGGGGGGCCAACAACGAGTCGAAGGGGCTAATTGCCGGCGTGGCCCCCGCGCCGGGGAACGCCACCACCCAATCCCTTTGTTGGCTCCGCCCTCGGCCCCCCAACAATGCGCCTGCGAAAAAAAAAAAATTCCTCCTGAAACAAGAGGCGCGTTGCTTTGGGCCACTTGCGCCCACTCGCGCTCTCGCACGGAGCGGCGGTGTGGCCGAGTGGTCTAAGGCGCCAGATTTAGGCTCTGGTCTCTAGGGGCGTGGGTTCGAACCCCACCACCGTCAGAAGTTTTTGCATACTTACTTCCCTTTGCGAGAAGGAAGCCAGCGCTTCACAGATGCGTTGCGTTTTTTTTTTGGCGGGCGTTTCGCCCTTGGAGGGGCTCGGCCATCGGTGCGGCCGCCGGCGCTCTTGCTGCCTCGTCTCCGCCGGGTTGCTGGCGCGGCCCCTTTCAACAAATGACGCTTCCCTTCCTGCTTCCGTCCCATCGGGCTGGGCCCAATACAAAAAAAAACAGCACTCACCAACCCCGCCGCGTTCCACATGGGAAGCAAAATCGAGTAACCAAACAAAGTGGCAAGAGAAAGGCAAACAAAATGCACAGTCGCACACCGGGATCCGTCTGGCCGCACGCTGCTTCCAGAAGCTTCTAGCGGCCTGGGTGCGGAAAGGCGCGCGCCGCGGCGGCTCCCCAAACAACCCCCGCGCCCTGCCGGAGCCAAAAGGAGGCCCCGACCGCCACAGCAAAGAGCACCAGAATCGCTGGAAACAACCAACTCCACTGCTTTTTTTCTTGCAATCCCCTCGCAAGCTCACTTTTTGCATTCGCACTATCCATCTCCGCACGGCCATCGGTTTCACGCATGGAACTGCCCTTCTCATTCTCCTCCCGCCTCAAGGCTTCCGCATCCTTCTGATACTCCTCTGGAAACAGTTGCTTGTAAATTGTCAGTTGCTCCACATTAAAGCGACGGCTCTCACGAGCGTACTTCCTTCGCTGCGCATCGCTGCACGTAATACTCCCATTGGCAACTTCCTCTCCTGCCATAAACGAAAGCAAGCCGGTAACAATGGTGCGGATCCCCCACAAAGGACTCCAGTGCTCTGGATGGGCATTGCTCATGGTGAGGCAGATTGGTCTGTTAACCTCAAAGCGCCCAGTTGGTGTCAACATAATTATCTCAGGTGGTTTCATTGGATATTCGGGTGGAAAATTTAACCGCCCAAAATAGCGACCGCCGTCATAAGGCGTATCTGCTGGTCCGTTAATGATAAAGTACCAATGCAAAATAGACTTTGTCGAGGGATTGGCAAAGAAGAACGGGTTGGTCTCTCGGCAGAGGGCAGAATACTCCTTCTGTAAGCGCCGCACACAATGTGGGGTAGGTGCGCTAGGCATCCTTCTTTCCTACGTCGCTTCCGCTCTTATTTCTGTTGTGCCACCTTTTTGCCCACCTTTCCCGTCCGCCAGAGAAACTCACTCGGCCTTCCTTTGCGCCTCCCCAACGCCCACTAAACTAACGCCGTATCCTTTCGAAGCTGCAGAAACTAATATATATATATATAAAAGAGAAATGGGCAGCGTGACATAATGAACAGGCAATTCAGGCACGCCTATACAAACTCCCCCAAAATGCAAATAAAAAAAAACACAAAACCTCATACGAAAACGTCACAATTGTTTCAGTGTTTACCCGCAGTACCCTTGTGGTATTCGTCTCCTGTTCTTTTCTTGGTAGAAGGAACCTCCCCAACCAACACTAGCTACGGCGACCACAGCCTTTCTACATGGTTTCCTCCCTTCACACCAAATCAAAAAAAAAAAAAAGAATGCCCCCTTGTCAGCAGTGCATGATCTCGCATTCAATCATAATCCACAGGACGATTCAGGCTTCGCGCGCTTTTCTTTTTACTACCAACGCTGTGTAGGAACGTGGAAGTTACAGGACCAAAAAGAGGTACCCATGAAGGCACATGTGCCCCCGTAATTCCACTAAATCATCGCCGCGACCTGACAGTTCAGTCAGCGTCAAGAAATATCACGAGACCATCATGCCTGCCAATCGGTGCTTCGTTATTCTCCATCACTGTGCCCGTTGCTGCCGCTCCTGCTCGGAAAGAAGCGAGCCAACGATTCCGCACCCACTCCCGGTAATTGCGGACCTATTTTCACGCGCGTCCTCTTCCTAGTCGTAGTTTTCCACTCAGCCAAGCAGGACCGCAAGCACTCCATGCTGGGAACTCTTCCTAGATTCACTTGGAAACAAGGTCAAAGTAGCGCGCAATACAGCGGGGCAAATTCAACCCCCTAGGAAGTGAGGCGTATAGGCCTCGCTGCCCCTTTTCCACACCTCACACGGACACTCGCCAGCGTTCTCGGTTCACAAAGGGAGAGAGCGAGCAAGAGAAGGGACAGAGACGAAAAAGAGTTTCCGACCATCCCAAAAGCTCATCCATAGTATTCCCACAATTCTGATCACTGCGGCAGTAATACTTCATTGTGTTTGCCAGTCTCGGTCACGTGCAAACTTGTGGACCCCAATGAAGTAAAATGGTAAAGTTCCACCCCCACACTGGCTAACATGAAGTTCGCCTCCATGCAAAAAAAAAAAAGTGATGTCGCAAGCGATACTCATCACCCCTACACTCCGAGGGACATATTGTCCACTACTTCCCAAACACAACCAGTACACAAAGCACTTCAATGAAGACAGCCAAAACATTATACATCATTACATCATTGAACTGCCTCGTTGATCAACATAGTCCAGTCCAAGAAAGCAGAAACACAAACACAGCAAATGAAAATGGATAACAAAAACAAAAAAAATACATCTATAATACACAAACGAAAAGTGGCGAAAAAGAACCCCCCCCATCCAAAAAAAGGTTAAAAAATGCCAAACGAATACAAAAATAACTCCAACACCGCACACACACACACACATCAGAGAGGTGTGAACGCCCAGGCGTCGCTTCCCGCGCGAGGAGCTGAAGGCTGACGAGGCTGAATGAATTCCACGAGGCCACGTCCACAGCCAAGGAAATACCACAGCCGAGCCCGTGAAACCCCAAGGGACGCCCAGAGTCGCGAGTCGCTTCATATCGTCGCCAGGTGAAAGTGCACGGGGCCTCCCGCGACACGCGCCGCCGTCGCGCCTCCCCGCCACCCGCAACAAAACGCCGCGCGACCAGGTCCACATGCAACAGTCACCTTCACGGGCCCCCGAGGGCAACCGGCAGCACGCTTTCACAGTGAACGAGCAGCCGCAAGCCGCATGTGCTGGCAGCATGCCCGCCACCCGCATGCACCTGACGGCCAGCGCGGGGCGCCCCCTCCCTCCCCCTCTATGCCCGGCGGCGCCACATTGCGCATGCGAACATGGCTGCTTTGCCGAACGAGGCAGGCGTCCGAGTCCAGGGCCAGACAAGGTGTATTCGGCTCGCGCATCGACCCTGCGCGGCCAACCCACCCCACGAGCCAACGCCTGCTCCCAATAGCCCCCCGCTAGTGATGGCTGCCTCCACCCCTGGCGGAACGCCCGTCCCACTCGTGCCGCACACGCGCGCGGGCGCGTCGACGACTGGGGGCTCCACCCGCCCCATGCCGTGGCAGCCGCCCCGTCGGAGACCCGCGCCGCAGCGGCTCCCAATGCCGCCACACAATCTCGCTCAAGTGCCCCCCACCATGTGCGGCGAAAAACAAACTGCGTGGGCCGGGCGGAGGCGCAGCGCACAATCGGGAGGAAAATGCAAAAGCGCACTCAGGCTGCAGCGCCGCGAGGACACGGGGGTCGGCCATTCGGTCCAACACGGAGGCATCGCCGCAGAGCATTGCCATGGGACGCGCCAAATACACGTAACCTCCGCGTGTGCCATACGCGCCACCGCCTCAAATGCCCGCGGACCCGCATCCGCACCGCCTGGGCCGTTGGTCCGGTCGCCTCCGTGCAGCAGGAGGCCGACACGCCTCGTCGAACATGAACCACTACACCAAGCAGCAAGGCAGCCGCAGTAGGGGCCGAGGCCACGCGCACAAACGCACGGACGCCATGAGGGCCAGCCCCATCAAAAAAAGCGGACGAAGACCGCCTACCGCACCCCGCACCCACTACCAAAACAGACCAGGACAGTTATGGGGGAACACGTGTCAGAGCACATCGTT